GCTACTGCTACTGCCACTGCCACTGCCACTGCCACTGCTACTGCTACTGCTACTGCTACTGCTACTACTGCTGCTGCTACTACTACTACTACTACTACTACTACTACTACTACTACCACCACTATCACTACCACCACCATTACTACCACCACCGGCATACCAGACCAAATGCGAGAAGAAGGCCACTCCTGCCATGAGCAAACTGAGTCTTAACCAACTTAGAACATGCGGTGTGGTAGAGCTTTGCAACTAAGATACGTGGTAGTTATATGCATTTAACTCTACTCAAAATCGTGTTAAAGCCACAATCGAAAATACTTCTTGCTGTGGGTCTCTTCGTTTCTTCTCGTCCTGTAGCATACGGTGGTTTGGGTGTATAATTGTGGTTCGACTGCCTTCCCTCTCAAGCACCAGGCAAGGGAAACGTCGGGTCTGCCCTTACATTTCTGCACGGCAGGGTTTAGGGTGTATAGGGCTCAAAGTGTACTGACATCCGTCCTTTGCAGCCCTCTCTGCGATCCCAAATCCCCAGAGAAGCCGCCAAGCCAGATGATGGCAAGAATGCTAACGTTCCAGAACCCTAGGTCCCAATCAACTGGATGGCGAATGCTGAAGGTCTCCCAATCGAAAGCTAACATGAAGTTAGAATCCGCCTCCGAGACCTACCTCAAGAATCCCAAAACCACCCCGTACGCCTCTTCGTCTGCCTTCCCCGTACATACCAAAGGCCCTGCCAGTCCTCCGCTTCGACTCGCCAGCCGATGTTGGGGCAGAGCTCGGCAGTGCAGAGTCGCTCCTGTGATCGTGAGAGCTACTCGGCGAGCCCACGATCACACTAGCGCCACCACCAACAACAACAGCTACGACGACAACCAAACAACCAAGCTGCACCAGAAGCAGCAGCAATGTGACTACCATGCCAACATCACCATCAGCATCACGAGATTCGCTCTCATCCTATCCCATCATCTTATCATCATCACAATCGTCACTAGTCATCATCGTCATCATCATATTCCAAGCTTGTTAATGGCAAGCAGCATGCAGACATCAACATGAACCCATCATCCCCGCTGGGATACTGATAGCGGGTAGCCACAGAGACAGAAAAGGCAGAAAGGGGAAGCTCGGGCCGCTGAATCCGCAAGGGAAGGCAATAAAAGCATCTTCGCTGGCACGAAAAAACGTCTGCTGCCAAGGATCTTCTTGGTCGTCGGGGGGGCCTTTTTCTTGCTCTTCTCGGTTTCCTGCACTGTCACCTTCTTCGCCTCTGGTAGCTCAGGTGCCGATTGCGCCTTCTTTCCTATAGATTCATCACCAGTAGGCTCAATCTCTCCCTTCTTGATGGATGACAATGGAGCGGTGCTCTTGCGAATTGCCTCCATGCTGGTCTCAATGCTCTTCCCCTGACCACCCATGATCCGCACATGCTGTTTCATAGGCATTTTGGAGAGCCCATTCGGTCCATCCTTCCTTGGCAACGCCCTGGAGTATGAAACATTCGGTCTGCCAAAATAGGAGCAGAACTCTTGAAAATCGACTTGGCCGTCCCCATCGGCATCAATCTCCTGAGCATCGCAAGAAAGCATGAGCGAGCCCCTAACTTAAACCTTAAATCCTGATAGAACCCTTCCGAAACCCGAAAGATTTTTTGAATCCTTGCAGAGCCCTACATGCCCTGCTATTTCCCTGCAGACCGTAAGGCTCGACAAGAACTGGACCAGAACGGAGAGCGAGATGAAGTGTATTGAAACCAAAAAACTGGGGGAAATCTGCAGTGCTTTGGTTTAAGCTTTCCGCGTTTTCAGCGGCGAAGTGCCGTCTCTAAGATAGGCTGGGGGAAGGGGAGACGAAGCAACGGATGTGTTGGTTCTCCTGCAGCACAATCCAAACCCTATCGAAGTCGAATGCTCGCAAACCACGGCGACACATCAGGGCAGGGCAATGATATCGTCTTATGCGCGACATTTGGGCAAATCCAGCTTCAACCCACTACTTCATCAGCTCCTGTCAAGGAAAGCCAAAAACCACCCAAAACCCTTGAAACAAAACACCTTTTCAACCCGAGGCTCCAGAAAACCCGGCTATTGATCGAAACCCCCCAGTCACGCCCTCCTTTAAAGATCAACGATTTATGTATGGACTTTAAGCCTGAAAACCTAGAACCCTAGAAGACGCTGTAATATAGAAGCCTTAGCAACTAGAATATGGTTTTGGGGATTCCTTAAACTATAGTTTAATATACCCCAACCCCTGTGTCTGATTATAAAGGCCCTTTTTTGAAGAAAAGAGGCCTCAATGGTGAAGCCGCGGGATGCTGCCAGAGCTTTGAGCTCCAGCATCAGTGGTTCCATCTCTTTGGGAGACAGATTTCCTGCAAGGGTTTCGGGGTCCCTTTAAGGGATCTATAGGGTACTATATGGGTAAGGTGCCTCACTATGCTGTTTGAAGGAGTTCAGGGGTGTAGCGTTTAGGGGTTTGGGGTTCATGGTATAGGTCTGGAAATCGCAGGGCAAAGTGTCACACGAGCCCAAGGAGTTAGTTTTTGTTGGGGTGGAGGGGTTGAGGTGTTGTGGTTGGGAGTCTGGGACAAACAAACAGTTTCCCAGCGGCTTCTGCTTGAGGTGCTTTAATTACTACCAGTAACGAAGGCGGCAAACGCACATATATGTGTATATGTGTGTGTATATATATATATACACACACACACCCACACCCACACGCACACATATGCGCACATACAAACAATCGCTCCCGCTCTGTCTCTCTCTCTCTCTCTATCTCTCTTTTGCTTGCTTGCTTGCTAGGGGTGTGGGCTCTGGCCCGAATTCCTACCCCACCTCTCTCTCCTGACTAGGAAACCCGACTGTCTGTTCTCTCTCTCTCTCTGTCTTTCTCTCTCTCTCTCTCTCTCTCTCTCTCTCTCTGTCTACGTATATGTATGCGTACACCTATGTGCATATCAAGATTGTGGCTTTCGGGGCTCAAGGATCGCTAGGAGGCCGCTTCCACTCATACTAGCCCACCCCCAACCTCGTAGCCGATAGAAGAGCAAACCTTAACCGTAGCCTGCACAGGGGGCTCCTGATCGCTTGGCATCCAGGATCCGGAATTCTTGCCGAAGCAGCTCGTCAAACTCTTCCTCCATTGACAAGAGGCAGGCGGCCGTGAACTCGAGGTACTCACACGAATTATCGCCATTGACGTCCTCGGTTGACAGAAAGTGGGAATCTTGACCCTAAGTTCGAATGGCCCCAAACTTCGCACTCTGAGCCTACAAAGCTCGAACTCTAAAGCCCTGAGGCATGTAATTACCCCACAGCTGAACCCCCAAAAACCGAAATCTCCCAGTCCAGAGCAGAACGTTCTCAGAGCGAAGTCGCTAGAGCCTTGGCAGTCTTCTTGGCCAAGTCCTTCGATATCCCCACTGACATCAGCCTCACAGTAGGATCAGAGGTCTGGGCTGGCTTTCCCTGGAGGTAGAGAGTTCAGGGCTTCGATTGGGATTCCTGGAGGAGGGCTCAGAGTTGAAAATGAACTTGGGGTTTAGGGCTTAAGGGCTTAGGGGTTTAGGGGTTTCGGGCTTAGGGCTTTTAGGGTCATTTTAGGGTTTAGGGTTTAGGGGTTTAGCTGTTCAGGGTTTTGGTGAATCTTCAGCCGACGCCAGGGTTGGAGCCCAGCCGCAAGAATTGGCACCTACCAAGCCCACGATAGAAACCCTTTTGCAGCAGGCTTCGTTCGCCCGGAACTACTGTCGCAAGCAGTGCAGCACTCAAGACTGCGCAACCCCGCACAACGCTTACTTATGACAGGCCATGACGATAGAAACACCAACCCTAAACCCGCAGTGCTCCCAAAGTGACGCTGAGACCATCTCCGGGGTATCCAGAATGCCACTGTGGTCCGTATCGAACTTGACGAAAATTTTCGCAAATTTGTCAATGCAGGTACAGTTCGCTGCCACCTGCAACAACTGAAGAAGCCCAAATTACCATTGGAATTTTGGGGTGCCGGGATAGCGGTTCAAGGGCATGGGGCATCCGGCGAAGCCCGCCTACGAGGAGTACTGCACTTGTGATTCTCTATCTCTAGAACGTTCAGAAGGGCTCCCTGCCAAGCTACACAATGTCAAGGCCAAGCTTGCAAGAAGCAACATGTTCCCCAGTACTAGTCAGTGCAAGGGCTAACCATTGCGTACGTATTTTGGAGCGATGGCCCGATTGCCTGGGCCAACAGATTTGTCTGCCAGTGTACCCTTGCGTGACACTACGTTGTGCTTACATGCTCATGTACTTACCACTGCCAGCAATGCACTATGCCATCCTTGTGTCGGGGTATGTCTGCGTAAGTGATGCTGGGGAACTGAAAACAGCCCAATGGAGGTGGGGAGTGCACTTCTGCAAGGTGCCTAAAGGGCTAATACATTTTTTGTTACCGCTACCTGCCTTCAAGCAGAAGGCTCTTTGGCATGCGGATCGATCCCGCCATGTGAGAACCGCAGAGCACAGCTTTTCCATCTCTTGCCTTGGCCGCGAGATCTCTTCGTCAGAAGCGGGCAGTTTCGGTAAATTTTAGGGCTGAGGGTTCGAAGAAGTCTAAAGAGCAGGGTGAGGTTAGGTTCAGGATTTCGAGTCTAGGTTTGTGGTCTGAGGTGAAGACTTCATGGTTGCAGATTGGGGGTCGGGGTTGAGGTTTGTGAGCGCATGCATACATACATACATACATACATAATGTACATACATACATACGCCTTTATCTACATCTTCGTATGATACACACGCACGAGAGCCTAAGTGCAGATGCCAATGTAGCCCAACACTCTCCAGCACGTCCCGTGGCACAACTAAAACTGTCGAAGAAACGGTCTTTCCAAATTCCATCCTTCACGGCTTACCTTGCTGTGTAGCACCCCTGATAGTAACCCTTGGCCTTACAGCAGCCCCCAACAACTTAAAGCCCTAAACCCTTACCCGAAACCTAAAAAAGATGATTTCGAACGCCCTTGGGCATCGGCACAAAAGAAAAACAAAGTCCAAGGGACTGAGTCAGCTCCTCAGCCTCAGGTACCTTCAACCAGTTGTTCTGAAGACACTCCTGCGTTTGGGGCATAGGCTTTAGGGGCCTTGGGGGCTGGGTGGGCGAGTTGTGTTTAGTTTATTCTGCTATTTTAAGGGCTCTCAGTGGGTTCTGTTACTTTATGTTCGGCCCCTTTTAGTAAACTTTGGAAATCTTTTGAAACAGGTTGTAGCAGGCAAACCCTCAAAAAACGGGTCTCTCCGCGGCTTCGCAAATGTGTAGAGTTTCGGATTTAAGGGCTGAGGGTTTAGGGTTCAAGGGCTAGGGTGTAGGGTTTCGAAGCTCGCAATGGACATCGACACACATGAATCGGCTGTGTGAAGCCACAAACTGGCCAAGACTAGGCTAAAGGGCGTTGTGTTTTGAACAACATTATACTAACAATAACAATAACAATAATAACAATAATAATAATAACAATAACAGTAACAGTAACAGTAACAGTAACGGTAACGGTAACAGTAACAGTAACAGTAACAGTAACAGTAATAATATCAACAATAAGTTTAATAATAATAATGATTACAGAAAATAATAACGATAATAATAATAATGACAATAAAAGTAATAACAACAGAACAAGTAGTAAAATAGTAATAACAATGCTACTACTACTACTACTACTACTACTACTACTACCACTACTACCACCACCACCACCACTACTACAACAACA